CCCTCACCGTTGTCTTCTTCAAGTTCTCCAAATAACTCAAATACAGAAACAAGCAATGGCTGGAGGTATGTAATCTCGATCATTCCGCTGTACCGATATATGATTAAATCGAATAATTTTTTTTTACAAAATGTACTTACGATTCTTACTAGGGTTCTGCTTCATTTCATACTACAACTCTTAGGTCCTTAGGTCGCCATATCGACTTCGTGACCCAACTGCTACATACCTTTTACCAGGTCATTGACAGTCTTGTCTGTTGTATGACCTTCAGATCTTTGACTTCTCATCTGTCTGAGCCTGAGGACGAGTTGAGCTCGCTAGCTGAAACCCGAACTGGCTCGTACCCTAAGCCGTTACTTCGACCAGTAAAATTCAACCTACTTGACAGGGTCAGAACCGATCCACCAAGCTAGAAGCTTTCCCTAGACCAGTAACATCTAAGCTAACCACTCTTGATCGATTCATACGAGCTAGTATGGAGCCCCTCATTCTAGAACGAGCTGCTGAGACTTGTGCAATAATATTACATCATGTTTCCTCCAGCCTTTCTTTTTAACATTTAGTGATCTCTGTCAGTCGACCTCGAGAATCATGAATGTTAGAAATGCTTCAAATCTCTAAATACACACTTTTCGTCAAGGCTATTGATTCACTTCAACACTAGCGAGGAAGATGTTGTATTGTTCTAAAGCTTAATTCTTTTCTTAATACCTTATTTGAGCTCCTACCCATGATATGTTATATTCCTAGGAGAAAATTACCTACTCAACTAACCCACACATGTTTATTACATATATACAAACGTACATACTCATGTGATGAAGGCACGTGGCGCAGAGGTATTGGTGCAGAGGATAGTGGCGGCAACTCTCTGACACACGCATATTGTTGTTTGTTATGTTTTTGTGTGTTTTTTTTTGTGTTTTTATTTGCTTGAGTCGAGTATTTTTAGGTTCAATTTGTGTGTTCCGGTTCATTTTTGTTCGTTTTTAGTAGCTTTTCGTTTTTGAGTTGTTTTTCGTATATTGTTCTATCTCTTTATGCGTTTTGGTGTTTTTGTAGGTCGGAAGGAAGTTCCAATTCGATTGGAGAAGTGTGCGTCGAGTTAAGAGCCTTAAAAGTAGAGCCATAGTCACCGGGGAAAAAAAACTCAAGCCCTCGAAACTCAATTTCGCGAGCTTATGCTCATTTCGCGAGCTAGCGTCCGGTCAGAGAAGAAATTTAGAGCCTGCGAAAATGCACCATCTATCCTGCGAATCTCATGTATCCTGCGAGTTCCACCTCACGCACCCTGCGAATTTCCAAAGTCGTATCCTTTGAGTTTTCATCGCCTAGCCTGCGAACGCATTCTAATCTGCGAGTTCCACCTTCCTAGAGAAATTACCCAGCGAAAATGATGATCTACCCTGCGAGTTCGACTCATCTAGCGAGTTTTTCATTTAATGTGCATTTTTTTAGTGTGTGTTTTGTCTATTAGTATAAATACATTTTATGCTTTGTATTTTGGACATCCACCTTCAATATATCATTTTTCTTTTTTGATACTTAGCTTATGTTTTAAGTTTTCTCTCTAGACTAAGGAGCTTATGTCATTTTCTGGGAGTTTCTCCGGCGACCTCGGTTTCATTCAAGTTTCGAGCTTTTGACTCCGATTTTCATCTACTATGCAATAGAAGATTGGGTAATTAACTTTAATCCTCATTACTTTGATTTTTGCCCTGGTTTTACTTATAATGCTTATTAAGGTAAATTTGAGTATTGTGGATGATGGAGGGAAAGTTAGGACTTTGTTGATTTTATTGCTCGCTTTAGTAGTTTTAGGGATTAATTGCTTGTCTATCTAGAAGGGTTAGGACTCTATTTAGAGCTTAATCACTTATGGTTAGAAGACTCGTGTTAATGACCTAGTGCTCATAGCTCGTTTATTCCTCGTTGTCGTTGATTTCATTTCGTTGTGTTGATGGCATGAGACTCCAATAGTCTAGTTTCGCTATTTGCTTGTGATTTGTTATTGCTCGTAATTAATTGCTCGTTTAGTGTTAATTCAACTCCAAGCCATTGATTAGGATGTTTAGGATTTATTTTCTCTTTTTGTGATTTGGACAATTAAATAGTAAACGAAGTTCCGAACCGTCTTCCTTTGAGAACGACCCGAGTCGGGTAGCTCGGTTATCTCTTGCCCACAAAAATCTATTAAACAACTATGTGTGTACGGACGGGCAGGCCCGGGCAGCTTCTAGGGCTGGTATCTTACCCCTGTATATATGGGGGTAAGCCTTTCTTGTTAGACACAATCATTTTTCACTTTACTCTTGAAAATTGATTGAACACACACTGACTTAAGTTTTGGAGGCTCTTCACCGGAAAATCCCTCCCGTGTGAGAGTTCTTTGTAGGTGCACGACGTTCAACCGGCGAGAAGGAAGGCGGTTACTCGGATTCCAGCCGGTCGGAGAGTTTTGTGTTACCAGTGTGTTTTTACTTCGATTTCGATCAAGCACACGCTAGGGATGAGTGTACTTACTTTTAAGACTTATAATCTCGATTTTCGCACTTATTTGCTATCTCACTCGTAGAAGTGATTAGGGCTTTCTAGATTTTGGGACTTTATTGTTTTTATTGTTTGCTTGAGTGTTTGTAAGGATTAATTGCTTGCCTATCTCGATTAAGGGTTGAGACTCAATTAGATCTTAATGACTTAGGACTAGGGTTAACCATGTTCCTCTTTGTTATTTGTTTTTTCTTTTTATTGTGCCAATGACATGAGACTCCGGTAGTTTAATTTCACTATTTGCTCGTGATCGTTTGCTTGCATAGTGTTAATTCAACTCCGAATCAATTGATTATAATGTTTATGATTTATTTTATCTTTTTGTGATTTGAACAATTAAATGGTGAACCAAGCTCCGAATAGCCTTCATTTGAGAACGACTCGAGTCGGGTTGCTCGATTACTTCTTGCCAACAAAGTTCTACAAAACAAATTATTCTAATGAAATATATTTCCGTTAAAATTTTATTATTTTCTTGTAATGATTGCAGGTTATCAGGAGCTCAAGAAAGAAGCTCGTTCAAGGTGTAAGGTGTGCAAACCGATCGTGAATTTCGGTGACGTATCATAGATAAAATCAAAATATTTAAAACTTTATTCATAATTTTTTTATGATATTAGCACGTAACTGGTTAAGTTTTATATATGTGAACAAAATAATAAAATAATGTTATTATTAATTAATATATAAATAAATGAACTCATGTAATTTATAAATATAACTTTAATGTTATTTATCCTGGCACAGAATAAAAAAAAATAAAAAAAAAAATTGCACAAAATAGTTAAAACCATTCAATTCAGGAGAAGACACAAATAATAGAAGATTAACGAGCAAGATGGAATTAATTTCTTGAGGTGTTACAATGAAAATCAGTGGATCATAGTCAATTTCATAAGATGTTACATTGAAAATCAGTCGATCTCTTGAGGTGTTACATTGAATATCAATGGAGCAGACAGAACCTCCCTACATCACATTCAATTAATATCCCCACAAAAGTTACCAAAATCATGAAAAGTTGAACAAAAACATAAAA